TACAGGGTGTCAAAGGTTCACCCGAAGGTGTCTTACATAAGCATTTTATAGCTCCGTGAGTGTATCGCTTAAGTAAACATACACAAACAAACTATTATTAGAAAATTCTAAACGATAAGAATTGAAATTAGGTTGAGGTTTAAAAATGCAACAGCTCGCACCACAAGCTCCCATACATAATAAATAAACGAGTGAAACAATTTTCAAAATATTTGAAAATACATTCGTACATAAGAACTGTAGATATATGTATGAAATTTATCTTTCATGTTTATTATGAAAAGATTTGTATAAGAAATTGTAAGGCCGGCCTAGAATTGGCAACAAGTAGAAAAGTTTTATTTATCTTGAAGCGAAACGACTCACGAACAAATGTATAGAGAAAAATTACATATTTTTTATTTTTTTTTTATTTTTTCTATTCTATAATCATGAGCGTTTCCATTGAGTCGATCGTGTATATTTTCGATCCTGATAAGTGTGCTTATAACAGAATAGAAATAATGGGTTTTTTTTCCATCCCGTTTTCAAACGTCATATATCGGAATGCTTGCAAAAGAAATGACAAATGCATTATATCCCCTTTTGATACGTGTACGTAATAGATCAAGTAGCGAGTATCAATGCTTCGCCTCGACGTGAATGCACTTTTTATTTATTTATTCTATTGTTGTTTGCTAGTTGCCTTGATTTGCACGTCTGTGAAGTGCACACAGCCTTATGCATAGAAGATAGGCTGTTGTTTTTCATATGTGTTTGTCATTTTAATTTACAATCAATCATTTTGTACTGCATTTGATAGCGCAAGGGGTGTTAACGCGACCAGTATTACCCAAACTGGTGTTTTGTTAATATTATAGTAACACTGATAATGATTGAATGGATTTGCGGCAAAGCTCTTTTTCGACATTTGAATTTTTTTAAATTGCGGGCACAAAATTTTCGGTATTTCATCTCTGCCGGATGCATTTTTGATTCCTTTTCTTAACTTCTTATTTATTGCGACATCAATTATTTCAGCAACAGGTGGACGCGCGTAGGATAAAGTCGTCAATCAAAGTGTTAACCATAATACATACGTCATAAGAGCATGTCGGGACATAAACACCACAGAAGCACACATGTCTGTCTCGAAAGCTACTAATCTAGGTCTAACAACTAGTTCTATTGCCAATATTCTCAGCTTATGCATGTTGTTAAGTGTTTCTTAACTCAATTCAGGTTTGAAACAAATTCTATAAAAAAAAAAAAAAAAAACGCGCAAATTTTTAAAAATTTTTTTTAATAATAGCATCAATTATGTTTTTGAAATTTGAGAAGAACAAAAACACTACGGATTTATCGCTAAGATGGCACAGGTTGCTTATTGACTTGTTACTCAACCAACGATAGAAAATGCTTTCCTTTCGTTGGACGTTGTGATGCTGGATAAAATAAAATTTCTAAAAAGAAAATATTTTCGCATGTCTATTTAAATTGGGAAAGCCTTCTGCATTATATGATGCTATAAACGCACATATATATTCACTTAATATATAAGAATGTGTGCGTATAGATTTTATATATATATATATATATATATATATATTATTATATTATGTTTTTATTTAATGTCAGTTGTTGTTTTCTTGTTGTTTGTTTAGTTAGTTTCGCATGTTCAAGAACGCTTAATGCTGCTTAATTTAACTAAAAAAGGGGTCAAACCAGCTCGTTTAGTATCGAATTCCCTTTATTAGTATAAAAAAAATAAAAAATCATTTAATTAGTGCCGCAATCAAAGCATTCTTTCTTTGTTTCTTTCAGATAATTATTCCGTTATTATAGAATGTTACCGACTCTTCATAGCTTAATGAGGTGCTCCTCAAGCGTTTTACAACCGGCTAGCACAACCGGTAGCATTAGGTTGGCCGCATCACCATTCGATGGTAATCATGGCACCGACCTGGATGATCTCAATACGGCGACATGTTCAGGCCGTGGCGATTGCCTCAATGGTACCTGCTTGTGTGAAATACGCTACGCAGGCGACGAATGTAGTGGTTTCAATTTACCCTACTATGCGGGCATATCGAGCGTATTCTATTTTGTAGCCTTAATATCGGTAATACAATTGTTCATTTGCATAGTGGCCGAATATCAGAGACTTAAGCAGCCCTCGGTCTTACGAGCTTGCCGAGTGACTACACAAAAATTATTATATTTTATGGTATTTGTGGCGTCTTCCCTAAGAGGTGCCTATTTTACAACACCGGTAAGTCAATTAACTTGAAATTTTTAATTATTCGAGAAAGTAATAAATCTTTCTTCCAAGTATAGCTGGACTTACAACCTCAATGGGCAGTTACTTTAATGTCAGCTTATTATCCTTTATTAATGACTTGCGCCTCTTTAATTGTTTGTATGTGGGCTGAGGTAAGTTAATATGAAAGCACACTCATCATAAGTGCATAAGAGCCAAGTACATATGATTATTCTTCGTGAACGCGGACCCGGTATTTTTAGTACATGTGCACTTGAAATTTTAACTCAATCGTAATCAATTGAGTGAAAATGTGAAAAGCATGAAGCATGTTTATTTTAGTATTTACCGTGCCGCTCTTCCCCGATCAATATTTTTGTTAGCATTGCACTCAAGCAAAGACGATAATTAATTTTACAGTAAACTTATAAATGAAATACCAAATGATTTTAATGACTGTTGTTTTTTGCCACCGTTTCGTGTTGAAAAGAAAAAAAAAAAGTAAACAAATTCCCACCTATTTTACCAGTGGTTATCATCGTTCAAGCTCCACAGCTGTTTTTATATATATATATATATATATATATATGTTTTTTTATTGTAGTTTTTTCTATTTCGTTTGAACCAAACGTATTTAGTCCGCTAATCGGTGTGAAATGAGTCGAACCGTCCAAAAAGAGGAACACGAATTTTGATTGATCAACCGCAAGATCTAGTGAAGTTGAACTAAACGGCTTTTATTTTTTATTTTATTTTATTTTTTTTTTTTTGTAGGTTAAACGAATTTCGTGAAAAAACCTAAGCAGTTATATAATATTTATTATTAATGCATTAAATTTCATTGTTTTACATGCAGATCTTTCATTTACGTGACATACGCTGGGAGAAGTCACAATTTTTGTCAAAAAGTTTTCTTGGATTCGTTGCCTTCAATTTTCTCTTGTACAGCCTATTCGGTGTGGAAGTCTTCTCAGCCATAATTAATGCCAATCGTCAAAGTTATGCTCACATTTTCAATGGCTGCTATGCTGTTCTCTTACTGGTGGTCGTAGTTTTCTTCTTAATATATGGTGTCGAAGTATATTTTAAGCTGCGCGGCGGTTTCGTTTACGATCAGACTGGGAAAATTTTAGGTCCCAGTGAAGCTATAGTAAATGTCTCACAATTGCATCAATCACGTTTGGGCTTGTTATCGCAAGCGATTATGCTGATAGTGATTGTGGGCTTTCTTACGTCAGAAACATTGGCCGATTTCTGGAAAACGAAGTAAGAAAATTTTTTTTATTTTCTATTTCTAAATAAAATGCATGGGAAATTTGTATTTTTTATTTTTAGAGTTCCCGTCTATTCGCGGAATTGGCATGACATTGTCTTCCGGATTGTGGAGATTGGCGTGGCACTTTGGTTTCCTTGCTGTTTATGGAATTCGATGGCCCCCGAACAGCTATGGATATTAAATCCCCGAAAGCTTATATCTCGTCAAATAGATCCCTCCATACCAACGACGTCGGCCGAGACGAAAACGCTATCGCCTGAAGAGGGTCAATCATTTCTGGCGAAGAAAGACTGTTGGATATGTTACGATAATGACAAGCTCGAACCTCTAATACAGCCGTGCCGCTGCACCGGCGATGTTAGTTCCGTGCATCACGAATGTCTCAAACGTTGGCTAGTTGAAAGTTGTAACAACACTGAAGCTCATCTATCATGTAAAGTATGCGGTTTCCCCTACGAAGTGGAGAAAACGAAAAAGTTAGTAATTTTCTTTCAATGCGAGTAATTTCACTTCCACTTAATCTTTATGCTAATATTAAATGTTTTCATTTAATAGACTCGATTGGGAGAAGGGTTTCACTATACAACATTGGCTCAAAACTGTGATTTTAATAACATTGATGTGCGTATCTGGTGCTAGTGCCTGGGTGGTGATTCAGTTCTATGTAGATCCATTAATACGTGTATTGACGGTAGGAATAGCAGTGCTAATAGGTTATGTATGCATAAAATGCTTAGGTGAGAACACAGTGGTCGCCTATCAACGTGCCAAAGTAAGCAGCATTAACATTGTCACAAAGTCTGAAATGGAAAAGCTACATACCATCTGTGAAGATGTTAGCTCAGCTGATTCTGGAAATTGCTCATCTTAAAATCCAAAATCTAGGCTCCATTAATAATTTTATTATGTTTGAACAAAAATTTTTGCAATATTAACTTCCTTACCCATCCTCTAACCATACTTATTCTTCTCATTATTATGTTTAATTATATTAAAATATAATTTTCAGAAAGTTAAGCACATTTTAAAAACGAAAAGTAATAAGATAAGCGTAGAAAAACGATTGAAGAAAAATGTTCAATTTAAAAATCATTGCGAGTAAGACAAATAATATATAATATGTAATAATAGTCATATATGATGGGTGCAGTTTATCAATCTAAGAGGCTGAGAGTGTCGCGCTACATATAGGGATAGCGAATAATCGATTGCAAAGGGATTTATGCACGATCGATCGCGCCGCCTTTTAGAAGATTTCAACGTTCTCATCATGAGTTGATGTCCAATGCAATTAACCTTAAATCAAACACTTCGATCGTGCAAACAAGAGATACTTGACACTTCTGCTATATGCTAATAAGCAAACTAGAAATTGTTTAATGAACTCTTCTAACGATACTCGTTATAAAAACGCTTGTGCTTATGGATGGCTACTTAATGTCTCATGCTATCCCTATTTGTTAGTTTTAATATAAACCTTATGTTTGTTTCCCTTTATAACCGAGTAGAGATTATAAGAAGTATAAAAAATATAATTGATTTCTGTACAATCAGAAATCATGAACGCAGCTTTCAAATTGCAAAAGCAACAAAACCCATTTACTATAATTAACCAGTGTAACATTATATTTTACATTGTAATTGACAAACGCATCACACATAACACATTCAATATTAATTATTTATATACATTTTTTTTTATATTCTACAAATAACAAAAAAAAAAAAAAGAAAAAAAGCGAAAAAACGAAAAAGACAAAAAGAAATATCACTCATAGTTTTAAAATTTACAAACTTACATATACATGTAAATAAAAATATTTTCAATATAATTTAATGCTAAGCTAAGTAACTGATTAGGCCTCTGCTTATATAATTCAACAAGATCTTAATAATGTAAGCTTTAGAGATTTTTTTTTTCACATAACATTAATAATGTAAGTTTTAACGTTTGTTTGTTTTTTTTCTTTCTTTTCTCATAATATAATCATAATCTATAGTAAGTAATGAGTAAGTAATGAAAATGATTTATTATTAGAGAAATGATGCGAAAAAAAAAATCAATTCAATTAGTAGTGTATAAAAAATTCCATAATTTATATTATTATACAAATATAATTGACGATAAATTATTTTAAAAAATATCTTAAACAAATTGTTTCTCTTATTCAGATTATACATGATATATAAATTATAAAGTATCGCCAGGATTCGCAGGGCAGTTATGCAAAATATTAATAGGGTAATAAATAAACTTTGCCTGGAGAATCATCTTCATCTTCTTCTTCTTCCTCGTTTGCGATTGATTACTCCTCTCAGTACAACCTAATATCTTCTTTATAGGCCAATTGAGTTCAAATGTTGTCTAAACTTCACTTTTTTTTTAAATTTTCTATAGGATTTTTGCATTCTATAGCGTGACCGCATATAATTTCATATATATGTTCACTTGAAGTGTGAAACTCATCGAATTGCGTTTCCCAGGAACTTAATTAAAGAACAAATGCGAAGAATGTTCGTTAAACGTCCTTACTCTTCAGTAGCAGTGTTTACCCCGACTCCGACTTCGAATCTGCTTCACATTTTTAATAAAGTCCCAGCGTACTTCTAAAACGTACGATTTCCAGAAAACTAGGTGTCCTTCAATTGTCGGTCTGTTCAGTTCTGCTTTGTATTTGACAAAATCCGTTACCCGCTTGGGATATTTTTCCAAGGGTTCGAGATATTTATTCCCTATTAAAAACACATTTGGTAGACAATGACTCTACTAAGCGTTTCCGTTTGACATCAACTAGGCGACCGTACCTGCTGAGGAGGTATCTGGAGATATTAGCAATCAGAAAGAGAAATGGAAATTTACGACGAAAATCCAAGCTAACATTTAACAATTTTCTACCTTATGTGTGTTAAAGCAATATGGGATAATTTTTAGGGGATTGTGGAGGGGAGATTTCCTACACCGCTGCCGATTAGCAAATTTAGTCTATTGTTCTTTATAAATATAACATTTCCATTGTTATTCACCAACTATGAAATTTCGTAATTCGCTGATCCGTATAGTACGTACAGGGCTGTTCGCATTTTCTGGATTCGCTCCATAAGCTGCAATGGTATCTTCTTCGTTGAATTCGATGTTACGCAAGAACGGAATCGAGAAAGTGATCTAGGTCTAATATTATTGCGGGTCGGCTGCATTATTATGCTATTCACTTCGACGGTTAATTTGCTTAAATTTTCGCCAAACAACTCTTGAAATCTTACTAGACTTTGCAGAATTAGCCCTATTGACATTGTGTGGCTGAGCGGCCAATGTACGAATTAAACGCTTGTCATATATCGCCCGGTGGCTTTATCGATCCATTGATTTCCTTCGCATTTCAAACTTTTTTGCAGGTTCGTTAATGACCGTCCAGATCGGTGGTACGCTTGGATTTGGAAACGCAAAGAAAACTCGAACTTTTCTTTCTAGAACAACGATTTTTCAAAATTTTATATTATATTTTCGAGGTTTTATATGTTGGCGAAAAGCGGTTGTGAAAAAATACGCAAATTTTAGACTCCAACGCGGCCAAACTATTATAAGGAATTTTGGCTGTTCGTATATCCATCATCGAGCTAATAAGATATGCTAACAGCGATGTACCAATTTTCATCTAAATATCGCGAAAATTGCCAATATTCAGCTTGAATACAAGTAAATGAGATGGGCAGCCAAACTCAGATCGATTTAGAAGGTGAGTCCGAATCGATAGGGATAATAACATAATAAGTGAGTCTATCTCAAGTCATTCTAGGTATTGCGTACATCCGCCCAAAGTTAATGTACTCTTGTACCGCAAATGGTGTAGGGTATACATATTAAAAAGAAAAGGAATACCGCAGCCGGTATAGTTCCGAACTAGATGTGAATCCCTAAACCGAAGCAAATATGGGAAAATTTAGCAACCGATAGCAGCAAAGGTATCATATTAGATTGTCGCTAACAAAGTCGCTAACCCAAATAAAAGTTAATTTAGGGAAGACATTGGCAAGATGAGCATGGCAAGAAGATTTTATTGAATATTATTTAACACTAAACCTATCGACATTTCATGTATACCTATTTCTACCATGAACGGTCAAACGACCGCGTTAAAAAAACATATGTAAAGTAGATAGTAAACAAGTAGCAGAATATTCAATAGGTATTATTTTTTAGGTGGAAAGTCAGTGCTGGTAGCTCAACCAGTTAAATGCAATGTTAAGCATTTAGTGAGGAGCTCTAAGCCGTAGGACGTAGGTTATTACTGGTGACAATTCGAAGTTTTCTACCCTTAAAATTTATTGGAAGAAATTGATCTTTTAAACGCTGAACGCAAACACATATCGTGACTGTGCATCCATTGCACTTTTTTATCCAGTCTCATTTTCCGTGAGACTATATATTACATTGCACTTGTATGTCTTTGTCTGTTGGCGTTTATATGAATATTTCGATTCGTTTTTCTTAAAGGCTGCACTATCCCTTAGCATTTCAGACTTCATAAACCGATTTGCACCACAAAGAAACATGTCGAAAAAACGATGCAGTACGCATCTCGAGATGTCCTTGAGAATGTCGGCAGAAATCATTTTCTACTAAGGCTGACAAGCCAGACCAAAAATGAAACAAAAGCACTAATACCACTTTGCGAGTTAACTTTGCCAGTTTGGGAATAAGGAAAATGCCAGCGACACTTCTCAGAGCTTTTGACATGAAGAGAGAAGACTAAAAGTTCCCAAACGGCATTTTTAGGAATTTAGTTAAGGAATTGAATGAGTGGATCTTCTCAGATTGACTAATTCGCCGAGGTAGAAGAACGCGCTCTCTGTGCTTTCGTGATCGACTCTAATGCCATTGATGATGATACCGTTGATTGGGCTACTGAAGCAGTCGTCAATGATTCGAATTTTTGTTGAATGGCTGCAGCTGCAGCTGCAGAGAGTATTTTGTTTACATTTCTCTTTCCGTAACCCATCTGCGCACCGTCCCGAGCTGCACTCGCGTCATAATCCCTTCCATCGTAATTGGCATCAAAGAACTCCTTAAACCACTGCAGAAATTCGAAATTATGTTGAAAATCGCCCTTGATTAATTTATCAATTGGTATTATCTTGTCAGCCTTTACTTTTTCAAATGAAGCTTGTAAAATTTTAAAATTCTGATTATATTCATTCTCCGAATTCGTACAAAACTTGACGTGTGTCATGGGCACCGAAGAAGGAAATAGCATATCCATAAATTGACAATAAGCAGCTACTGTGCGAAGCTCTTCGATTTTGCCGAATTGCGCCTGCAAACGTTCATTAACCCAAGCCAACATATCGTGTACGGATAAATTTTCAGTTGTTGCATTCGTCGAATACACATTCGTAGCCATTCTTGATGATGATGATGATGATGAGATGAGTATATATATATAACTAATTGGCACTGGTCTTGTCGGCGTTGTATTAATTTTCGTTGATTCTTCAAAGCAAGATTGAAATCAAAATCAAGAACGGAAACAAAGAGAGCCAGATATTAGAAGAATAAATTTTTTTCACGTCAAAAATTTTTCAAATCATTTTCTTACTTTTTTTTTTCTAAATATATATAGATATATAGATATACATATATATATATTGAATTTCTTTAGCGAGTTTACCTTTCAATTTTTGTTGCTGCCTGTTTGCCGTTCAGCTTTTTATTTCCTTAGATCTGCAATTATTTTCAACGCTATGTTTCTATAAAATTTTGATTAAAATTAAAATGTTACGACGATGACAAAATCTTTTTCTGCAATCGATATGTAGTTTTTTCTAAAAGATATATTCTACAGTTTTTTTTTTTTTCTTTTTTTAAAATAAATTTTCAAAATTTGTTTCGATTATAATGACTTGTGTCCTGCTGCAAGACAAAAACAGCCAAACAATTGGCAACTAAGCAAGCGAGGAGAGAAAACACTTATCACAAATAAGTGCATCTCACCATTTGTGATTCGGATGAAAGGACATGACACTGTTATAGCGTAGTACAATAAGAAAATGAGAGTAATACACCTCGAGTAAGTCAAGATGCTGCGATAGGGCGCCTAAAGCGCGCATAATAAATAATCCAAGAAAGCATAGCACAGCTGTTTTATAAAAAAAAAAAATTCAATACTGAATATAAATTAAATGCATATTGTTGCCAATTGTCTACATTCCAGTTCTACTTAATTTTAACAAAAATCTTAGGGTGTTTATTTTCCAATCCAAGTTGACGACCCTGGACAGTAAATCATCATCATTGGCTGTTAAATAGTTGGAGTAGGGGATCAAGTTCAGTATGTTACTTGGAGAGATATTTCCTATTTGCGAGTTTATTAAAAAGAAGTAATTTGTCTAATTGAAAAAAAAAAAAAATGATTTCTTATCTGTTATCATATAAACTATCAGTGTTTGACGTTGCATTTAAAAATTTGATTGCATATGTAGCAGATTTTTGGGAAATGCTGTATATTTCCAAATTTCTACATTACGCGTTTATCGCATAAGTAATAATAAGCGCGAATTTCTCTCTTTTGGCTTATTTTGCTTTGTTTTTTAAGATATCTAGGCGACCACAAGGTAAGAATGTCGAGGATTTAGTCGCAGTCGATTTGAAAATGGAGATATTTCTGAAGATGAAATGACACATCATCTGTGTGGCATTTTTCCTTTACTTCCATGCAGAAATGTAAATGTAAACAAATAGAATTTCCAGGTTTGTGTTGCCTTACTATGCAACCAAAAATTTATTTTATTATATTTTGTTATTTTTTTTTAAATTGATTACACAAAAATAAAGTTTCTTGTATATCTTATTTTTTACATAAAAACAGCTAAATACAAGTTTATATAAAAATTACTGTCAGATACTTTTGTTAATTATAAGCAAATAATCTTATTTGTTTATACTAGAAAGTGAGTTCCATGTCGAGCGAATTGAATTGTTTAATGTGTAACCAATATTTGTTTAATAGAATTCTGTTCATTAACGAAAAATAATATATTGTTCCTAAATTGTTTTTTTTTCTTCCTTTCTTTTTTTTTTTTTTTTTTTTTGTTTTTTTGGATGAAACTTTTATATCAAATATTTACGCAGAATTTTATGCTTAGGTTTAGCAGTATAATGTATTATACAAAAAACATGTAGACTAGCAGTAAATCCTAAATAGTTTATTTACATGTATAACAGATATATGTGTATACATATATATGTAGTTATTAGAAAAGGATAGTGATTAAATTTATTTATTATTAGGCGAACTAATTTTTCTTTTTTCTTTTGTCTTTTTTTCCAATTCAATTGATTCTGGTAGCAGGGCCAATGCATACACACATATATTTATTTAACTATTAACGTTGTAGAGCCAAAGATTTCTTACAAAACAAGCGGTTATATTAAATTTAAAAACATATCGGGAGAAGTTGACATAAATGGTGTACGAAGCTAGCCCGCCGGCCTCTGGATAGGGTCTTCTTACACCTTATTATTTGTTTATTTTTTTATTTTTATTTATTTTTTTTTTTTGTTGTATTAAATTTCATTTAGAAAAAGTAAATATTAACTAGTTTTGGATATCATAATGTATGTTGTATGTATTTTCTAAAATATTTTTTAATTAATATATATACGTAGTGGAAAAATTGCAAACTAAATATAATAAAATTTAACTAAAAATTATATTAAAATATTAAAAGTTTGGCAACTTCTAATTAATTTGCATATCGATATATCTGGAACACACAATCGAAAGAAAATAGCAAAAATTTGGCTAACTGGCAGGTTTGAAAATGAGCGTTAATGAAAAATATAATGAAAGAGCGTTACAAACGTGATAGGGGCTGAAAAAAAAGTCTAATAAATTCTCTTCTCAAAACGATGTGTTGGAAAAAAAATTTCTTTTTTTTTTTTTTTGTTTGATATTTACGTGTTGGAATCGTAACTAAGTGAAACTAGTTGGAAGTGTTTTTCATCTTTTATAAATAAATTCATAGCTCTTAAGTTAAAACAGCTGAACGTTTATCGCGATTTTTACCACGTGATATGGTGCGTGCTTTGAAAGCAGCTGCGTTCAATAAATGCTAAAAAATTGAAAAAAAAAATTAATATGAAAATAACCAATAATGCAGTGCAATCTCCTACTTACTCTTTCTAACTTAGAAGCTTTGGCTTTAGCAGAGCCGTTCATGGTATTAACTTTAGAGCCCAAGCCGAAGATATCCCGTATGAAATCATTTTCTTGTAATTGATTGGTCATGCCAGGCCCCATAACAACGCATAAAGCCGAGTACTGATGATGTATGGCCCACGAATCCAATACCAGGCTTTCGCTACCAAAACGTATAGTTATTTCCGGTAAGATATCGTCCTGCGGATGAAAATAGTTAAACATAAAAATATTATTTAACACTTTTCTCTTGCTTGCTACAACAAAGAAGTATGTATGTATACATGATAAGTTCGCCAAATGTCCATTAATTCTAAGAATATTTGGTTTAAATAAAAACCAACCAGTTTTCAACTATCGTTTTTGCCAATTTTTATCCTTTTCTTTTCAATATTATCCACCTTGACTACATACATAAAATTTTCGAAATAATAAAAGATTTACGGAACTCTTTTTTATACTGTCTACATTTAGGTTTTGGGATCGTTTGTGGTGTCATTTTTCTGCTATTAATGACTTCAGTGTTTTCTATACAATGGCATTACGAACAACTCTTTGAACACTTTCCAAGATACGCCACACTTAGTTTCAGCTTTGAAAGGAAATTCTTCAAAAACAGATTTAGGTTATTTCCTCGCAATAGCATCGCTATTGTTTGCAAATTCTCGCGTATCTAACTAAAAGCGTCAGCTACACATACAAATACAAGAGATAGCAATTGAGAAATTATGATTGCTTTTTGATCGGAATACGTATTTTAGGAGGATGCTGTCAACCATGTATGTTCTACGTTAATTTCTTCCTTCCGATAATGCCATTACATATTTCCCTAACGCAATCCGAATTTCTTTACTAATGATAATATTATTACGAAAATGCGATTTTTGATGATTTGAGTTCTATGAAAATGAGTTAATCTTCCAAGAGACTAAATTTTAAAGAAGGGGAAAATTAAATACACATTCATGACGTCATGCAGCTGGCGGCTGGCGAAAAGTTTAACACAACAACAACTGACGGAAAACGCCGCAACGAATTTAGGTAATAGTAACTTGTATCAAGACCAGTTTCAAGGACAGTTGCGGAAAGCATATCAGCCGAGCCAGTCGTAAGCAAATCGCATACGAGTTGAAGAGTCGAAAGTCGAGTCAAGAGAATTGAATTACAATATTCGAACCGACAATCAAAAGCATTGTAAATATAAATTCTTATAAATAATTTATAAATAGATGTCTTAATTTTGTAAATAAAACCTACACTATATGCTAAAAATCACAATTCAGTGATACCAACTTAATTCTCAAAAGGAGTGGAATAAATAATGTAAAGATCGCGACAGACGGATTTACGTTACAATATGTTAAGTCAAATATCAGATAGATTCGCTGATAACTGCCATCATAGTTTTCATGCTGAGATTATGTAAAGAAACTTTCCAATTACATATAGCTTTTGCATTATATTAATATATAAATAATTTTACATGTAATTAAAACAAGTGAAAACATCATAGTGTATGATGGCCCACAATAAAATAAATACCGTAGACTGCCCTACACAGTTAAGTAAGTATATGAGAAATGGAAGCATTTTCAATAGCGCTTGTCGTTGGGCCAAAACACGTCAATCCATCAAATTCCATCAAAATATCGTCAAAATTGTGGCCAGTAGGTTCAGTACAAGAAAAGAGAGCAAAAAGACAAGCTTAGAGCGATCGGTATAATACAAGTTGAACCAAATCTCAAAACTTTTTGTACTTTTTGTTCCTTAAGTGGGGTAAAAGAAAGTAAAATTTTAAACAATAACAAATTTAACATACAAAAAAGAAATAATTTTGTTTTCAACGAAGAGACATTTGAAAATTTAATCATTATCATTATTTTCATAGAAAAAATTACAATGTCAATTACTTTAGTTTTGCATAAATTCTCGTTAAGTAGTATAAGGAACGAAAGCCATCAGACATTGTTTTATAAAAAATAAAAAAACGGGAAAAACTGAGATCTAAAAAAAAAAAAAAAAAAAAAAAAACCTTAAGAATCGTCGCAAAATTATAAGTACTCTATAACTAAACTAAAATGCTCGTAACTACTTATCAACATGACTACATTCCCCCATATACCAAACGGTATGAATTTCTTCGAACGAAGCAAGCTGCGAAAAGTGCTGAACCGGAAAAAGAAGTATGTGAATGTGTTGAAGAAACTAAAGTTGACACTCCCAAGGCAGTGGAAAAACAATGCGCGATGGAATGGACGGGCGTGGCCCCAATGGGTCGGCTTGTCGATCCGCGCATTTTACCTACTAAATTATCACCCGAACAATTAGATGCCATGGCTGGTGAAGCGCAAGCAGATTGTTTTAAAGAGCAACCAAATCGATTTTTGAAAATCCTACGAACTGCCTATCCTGATCTCTATGAACGATTGAAGCAGATGCCCAAGGACGAACTAAACAGGCGTTTAGAACGTGAACGCATGTACACTACGTATCAAATTGATTTTTGCGATATGAGCGAATATCCCGAAGGTATTTATAAATCGCTGAAAGATGAGGATGAAACCAAAAAATTGAATGCCAGCAAATTGCTGCAACGACAAGGACCCTGCGCTGAGTTCAGAACGAATGTTATGCAGGAATTGGATAAAGAAGGCGAAGCTGGCGTACTAAACCAAGATCCGTGCGAGAAGGCCTACAAACCATTTAAAATATCATTTGCAGACTCTGCACGATTCATTAGTTCGGGCAATAACTCGCATTGGCGTTCAAATATCTTTGCCAAGAGGGCAGACTTTTCCGAGTATATGGGCACAATCAATAAGATCGGATGCGTCATAATGCGCAATAATATACACAATCATCAAAAATGCTCTAACAAACACTGCCGTCATCAGCTAACTCATACGTGCGCGGATCTAAGATAAAAAAAATCTGTGGAAAATCTATTGTATTTAGTTTAACGAATGGCCTCCTTTTCGTAATTTCGATATCTAAATTTTAATTAACTATTTTGAGGAATAAATTTTTGAATATTTTGATCGAGAAATTGTTAATTCTGCTTACCTCTAAATATCGTAAAACGTCTCTAAAAGTAGCTCTTTGAGCTTTACGATCTCGCTTAGCACGATATTTATGAGAATCAGTAGCTAACTGTTTTACCATGTCTATTAAATCGATGAGATAGTCTTCCAAAAATTCTTCATCGTGGGACCGACCACATTCCAAAATCAAAGCCAGAGTCTCACCAGCGGCCATACGCACGTCCAAATGTGGTGATTGTAGCAAGCCCATAATTTTCTTAAATGACCTTGAAAAATGAAAAAAAATTTAAAAGTAAATGTTAGCAGAAAAGATGTTAGAACTTACGGTAGTACAGGTTGACCGCTTGTCATCCAAGCCACAAAATCACCTGGGGGTATCAGAGTTAGAAGCAAACCCCAAGCTGACAAAGCTTCTGCATGTAATGTGCTAGCTTCTGTGCTTACAGAAATTGGTACCTTATCATCGGCCTTCAAGTAGCTGCCACTGAAAATACTTTCAAAGCATTGCATAAGCGTGAGCAAATCGCCAATATCCTCGCCGCCAAAAAAGTTCAATAGACCCAAAGCGGTACAACATTTGGCTCTGGCGTCAAACGTTACTGACTTATCTTGCACCGTAGTTAACAAAAATTGATTAAGGGTCTTAGAAATTGTTTCATCGCCACCTAATTGCAGCACCAAGAGTGGAGCCAATCGAGCCCCCCAAGCTTGTTCGGCGCCCTTGCCACGACGTATACTCTTCTCAATGCAATCAATCAAGGTGACTTTGCGATCATCAACAAAATCGGGCATATAACGATGCATTAATATTTCGCATATACTTTGCAATGCCAATGTCCGTGTTTGAGCTGATTTCTCAGTTGCATTCTCCAAAGCTTGAATAAAACGCTCCTCATAACGTTCATTTGATGACAACTCATCACAATCATTTACCGAAGAAGGTGCATTGTCCGATGCGTACGAATAAACGGAAACATTATCGTTGTACGATTCGTCTTCCGAATTGGAGTCACCAAGACGACCTAAAAAAGTATAAAAAATATGACAATTTTTGCATTTATTTTTTAGGATAGAGAACAAAACATTATAGCTGGGCCGGATCGACCTTTAATTTCCCCACATCACTTTGAGTAAAACTTTTGCTATGCAAACGTTTGCATTCCGCAGGGACAGTCACTTATCCAAACCTTTGGCGGTTATTATGCCCTACATCAACTGGAATGCAGATGTATACAATAGAAGAAGGAGGACCGTTGAGGGGCTTGAGATGGCTTCTTTTTATTATATCCGAGTCACTTTCGAAATCGATTTAAACTTGTCCGTCTGTCCGTCCTGCTCAAGTCTTCACCCAACAGCTCACAATTTGGTAAGCCGCGGTGTTTTCGCCCAAGGGATTATAGGACATTTAATACTAGACCGTGGCCTATTATACTGCTTGCAAGAGATTATGAAAAACGTAATTGTTTTCATAGAGTTTGTGCAAATGGACAATATGTGTGGGGAATGGCCATAAAACGATCCGATCCTATCCGATTCATACTCGATTAAATTTTACGAAAATATCCCAAAAATGCACGCATACAGTTTGGACACACAACTACGAGCATACATTCAGACAGCAGAAAGACACAGTTAGAACCAGTTATGGATTGATTCAGAATCGATCGTCATAGTAAAAGATTGGCATATCTTTCTAGGTTTTAAATAAGGGCGGACAAACTTCCCACAACTTATCCCTTAGATGGTATGGTAAAGTAAAGTAAAAGCGCTATATTCGGGCAAGACTTACTATTTAATTCAATCCTACATGATTTCTTCGAATACAATTCAAGTCAATTATTTTCGTTATAAAATATGAAACCTATATCTTGTTGCCATGCAAAGGGTCCGATTATATGACAAGCAATCCGAAAACTGAAACGTGGAAGGTACAATGTACACTACATATCAAATTGATTTTTGCGATATGAGCGAATATATGACGAGCAGTCCGAAAACTGATCTAAACTTAGTACAATAAATTTACATGTCATGTCAATATTTTCAACCAATCATTCCATCCGTAGAGAGCTAAATATTAAAGGGTACTAACAAATAAATTGACGGATTCAAAAATGCTCTTATTCCGTGCAAAATCTTTTACAACATATAATATGCCAAAAAACAAATGTTTATTGACCTTTGTCAAGAAATATTGAAAATCTTGACTTTTTTCTTCATGCAACGACTTATGCACTAGAGAAGAAGAGGGTTATATGTCGAATACGAATAATAAGCAAGTGATCCGTTTTCGTTTACTCACTACTACTACTACTACTACTAACAACAACAAGAGGACAAAATAAATAGGAGATTTCAAAAGGTATATATATATATATATATATATATATATAAATGTATATATCTTCTCTCAACAGGAACAGCTTATATTGCGCAATTGTCATTGTATTTTTTTTTTCACAGTCATGTTTTTAAATTTTTTTTTAATCAACTGGCGAATATTTAGCATATATTAGTTTGCCGTTCCCTTTGCAAAACCTAATGTAATGATCATTAGAGGTGCAATAGATTACATATGCTATTAGCTAGCGTGAGTTTTAAGCCGATATGGTGGCGTCATCTGTTTGTTATGTGTCACCACTAATATGCTCATTTTCGCAAAAACCGTGGAATAGAAAGCTGCGACTATATATATATATATATATATATATGCTGCGTTGCTTATGTTTCGAGTTGATGACAACACAGTAAATTTGAAAATAATTTTTTTTCGTTCACAAACAAATCCACATTAGGTAAAACGTTATTATTTATGATCAAGAGAGCAAACGTTGCGCTGCTAAACTACGACGCAAAAAGAATTCTAATCGATAGACAGAGAATCCCAAGATGAATAAATTATTTTATATATAAAAAGTTTTGTAAATTGAATAAATTTTGAAACTTTTAAGCATTAATTCGACGGTGGTAGGCTTCGAAGATTTCTTTAAACGCCAAACTCCATTGCTACACTTGACTATAATCGAATGGTCATCTTTCTTCTCTTAAAATTTGCTCGCTCAAGCCTTAACAAGTAAATATGAGAAGTATATGACGTAGTATACAAAATATGTGGAGCGTAGGAAGAGTTATAGTTTTAGTAATCGATTTCACCGCCATCCGGTATTAGCACACATGTTCAATTTTCTAGAAAAATTTCGAAAAATTTTATTTGCTATGATTTTTCCTCTGCCACATGTGACAAGCAAATGAAATGGAATGTAGGCACGTCCAAGAAAAAAAAAATAAAGCTTTCACTGACTCCTATCGGTATTTGACACCTAACGAGAAAAAGAAAAAAAAGAGCAACGACGTTAGAGCACATTTGAAGAAGATCACGCTGGTGGCTTAAGCTATGGCTATGACCAACTAAACGGACTCAATCGATATTGTCAACTACTGGTCCCTCTGGCAATGCAACAGCAATTATTATTTCTTCTTTTCGCTGATGATATTCCAACCTGTTGGCAGTCCGATGAAAAAGTGCGAATCGCGTCTACCTAATCCTTGTTGGAGGAGATTCAAATACCAATGCGGTAAACTTCATTTTGATTGTAGTTATAATGAGCGCTCAGTCGTTAAAGTCATAAAACATCGTAAGCCTGCGACCACTTTCCTATCTATCTCTTACTCTTTGCTCCCTTCTTTCTGACCGCCACACCACCATGTTACACGATTAGGGGACATAACCTGAGTGAGAAGAAAAAAATTACTTGAGCTCGATGTTATTTGGTTGCCAATATCCTTTAAAGACGATCCTCTAATCATTAAAATGCCACTTGTTTCCCACTTCCATTGCTTTGCCCTCACCCGTTCAGCAATCTCAAAGATGAAGATTGAAGAGAAAAATACCAAAAACTGTTAAACCTATATTAAAGTTAAACGCTATTAACTTGGCTTACTGAAATACAAAAAAAGTTTTCTTACTTGGAATATGTGTCGTTTGTGTAATCTACACGATTTGTAATTAGATTTTTCTTTTTTTGTGTTCACTATATTTACAAACATAAAAAACATTTTGAACTTTTGAAGATGCAGTGCATTTTCTCAATCGATTCATTGTATACTCTATAATGGATTGCGCATACATTTGAACTAGTGAAGCAAATAAAGTTAATGTTATTCTATACAAGACAACTGGGAAAGCCCAGAAATACCAATGGTTTTTTATGAATGTATTTAAAATTTTTAAATACATACCATGCACCAACCAAACGGCCTTTGAAAGGCGAAATAGCATACAAGAAAAACCACAATTTTTAAAGCAAACGTAGCAAAGCAAAGCAACAGAAACAACAATCAATTCGAAATGCGAGAGAGAAGGAAAAAAAAAAAAAAAAAAAAAAAAAAAATTAAAACCCTCAAAATTTACAAAACCCAAAACAAAAAAAATAAAATAAAAAAAAAAAAAGAAAAAAAGAAAACATCATGAAATAACAGCAAAGCATGCACTAAACACATGAACATTGCTCGGGGCAACAACTGCTGCTACACAGCTGTTTCTCTTCATAATTTTTGCGAAACAAAAAATTGTTGTTGCTTTCTTTTTTACATTTCATTTATTTTAGGAGCACGAAAACGAGTTTCATTGGTGACTGCCGTTGTTTTGCTGATTTTACATTGTGCATTGAAAATGAAATAATAAAAAATCGACTTTTACTTTATTCAGATATACGTGCATGCACAGCATGCACAACATGCCCAACAACACAACATATACATGAACATTTAACGCGTTGTGATCGTGAAACTGCAGACTTGTTTTTGCCAAATATATAAAAGAGAAACATTGCGAAGATATGAGAGAAATTGAAAAAAAAAAAAACAAAAACAAAATAAACAAAAAAAGTCTCGTCGCTGTGAATACATTTTGTAGTAAAACTCATGTGCACTGGCAGATGTTTCTGTATGGCAGCATGCATACACATAATTACATTGCTAACGATACGGAAATCACCTTGTCCCCAATGACAATTGTAAACACTTGCAGAATGTTGTAAGAATAATGCCTGAATTAGCTAAAACAATGTATTGTTTTCACATTGCGTCAGCTGTTTTCTTTTCTAACCTCTAAAATATACATAGTATTAGATCGGACAAAGCATAAAAGAAACGCACGCTATTAACTTTTAATTTCTACAATTGTCCCCGATTGAGAATAAAAAAGAAACATAATTTACAAACAAATTGCACTTATCAACAACGCTATAACGAAATTCTACCATATGTTGTCGGCTAATAGCTTCCGCGTGTCTATCGAACAAGACTAAGAACTTTTCATGACAGTTGAAAGTTGACATTTGCCATGAAATTTCAATTTCTTCGTCTCGGAGATCTGATCTAACATGTTTGTGCAGCATATCAATTATATTCTGATAGTCTGCATATGAAAAATCGACTCGGAATAAGACGCAATAAGCACCAATGATGGATGCTTAGAACTGTACGGGTATATTTTCAAAATGACCAAATTGTGTTCATACGAAGCTCTTTTAATAAAACTGATGTTGATAGCGTTGTGCAAAAGAGTTGAAATAGATTATAAAGAAAAGTATATAAATATTATATATAAATATTATATAATAATGCTTGATCTCTTGTCTTTCGTTTCCGTCAGATCTGAAAAATTCTATGATTTCGGCAATTATGTTAAAAGGTAATACCGTAGATACCGTGAAAGATGAAAAACATAACTAATTTCACTCAACAATTTGCTTCTCTCCTTCTCTGAGTCAAGACATTTTTGATAATCTTTTGAAAATCGCCAGTTAATTTATTTTAGAAATAGGGGACAGCACGAAGAATCGTGCTTGATTGATTATATCTTATTTGCGAAGTCTCGATATTTCGGATTAATGTTTTCTTTTAACTTATTTCCTTCGTAAAGTCGTAATCTTTATATATTACAAATATATATATTTACTATATACATATATATATATATATATATATATATATACGTATTATAATTTTTTGTACACAACCTTTTAACATTTTAACGTTTGCAAATCTATCCCTGTCTCTGCTAGAGCAAACAACGGATAGATGCAAGAGAATGACTGAGAAAACCTTCACACAAGGGTAAAGTTGAAAATCCGTACATACGGAGGTAGGTGTTAACGATTCGACTTGGTCTAAGTAGGATACGTAATCTTATTTTCCTTTTTGATTATTTTATCTAATTTTATTTTTGAAGGTCAAACATAATTCATTCAAATTTTTATAAATAGAAACACATATGCAATATGTGCGTGTGTATGTTAATTATTAGATTGCAATGGGAAAGAAAAAGTAGGAAAATGTTATGGCAGGAAAAAATAAATAATTTGTTAAAGTGAGCGAACGAACCAAGAAAAAGATATAACTGTCACTAAATGTTTCAGAGATAGCTTTTAAAGACCTGCGATTAGTAGGAGTAACATTTTCTTTTCAATACGACCACTCTCTCAGGTCTTGTCCTCGGTAGGCGTGACTCGCAAATGGTCAGAAGTAACTAACGAGGAAAAAAGACATAGAGAGCGTCCGCAGTGGCAACTGCTGCATGTCCCTCCTTCCAATTGGTAAGTGTTATGCCTTTAACCACTAATTTGACGCACTATAGCTGCGACTCAGACTTCAACAATCGAGCAACAACTTGCTAGTCTCCGTTCGGCTATGCCGCCCAGTAAAACTTGCCGAATGTCAGATGCCTGTCACAATAGAAATAGAAGCAAAGTAAGAAGCCAAGCCAAATCTATAATTGATTCATCTCAAGAAACAGCAAATAGCTTAGAATAATTGTACTGAAGGTTTAGTAGTTTATGGGCAGATAAATATACAAATTTATATGTGGGACATCTAATTAGCTTTTGATGCAAATGACCTATAAACAAGAAAGTTATATTCGCCAGAATTTGAATCTCGTACACCCATCACTATACTTTTCGCTTTCTATTCCCCAAGTTCTTTTGTTTAATACCCATATCGCTGGTATTATTAAGAATTTTTTTTTTTTTTAGAATAAACCCATTTTTAGGTAGATAAGATATCTTCGTTTGAGGAATGTACAAAATTGTTTTAAACATTCCATCTTGTGTGCGTTATGATAAATAAACACAAAAAAACCTCAAAAAAGTGAAAAGAAAATAAAATTTAATCATTTGTAACTTTGTGCAGTCGGGGCCGATTTTTTCCATTTTCAAACGTAAAGACTAGAGTGCTTCACAAAATAAATGTGGAAAATTTGAGCTTTCTAACAGTAATAATTTTCAAGTAACCAGAAAAAATCCACAAATTTTTGTTTATAAAACCGGTGTTGCGCTCACTTTACGATCCGCTCTAAACTTCTTCTCTAATCAATTTGGCCAGCAAACATCGCACAGACGGACAGACATGACTTAATCACTTGAGAATTTCACGCTGATAACGAATATCCATAGTAAGTATAGAAATTATGTAGAGCTTTTCAACAAAGCTTTAATGTTACAATCACAATTTCAACAAGCTCTCGCCTCCAAGCGGGTAATCAAAAATATTTTATATCGATATTAAGGCTGATTAACGATATTGTATACTTCAGGTCATAACCTTAGCGAATTTCGCAATATTATAAGCATTTAAGGAATCTAATGCATCGCTTGATACGTACAAGTTTTCGAAACAATGTTTTGATTAATTTTTTTTTTTTTTTGAAATGATTGCGTCGATTGCAATTATAAAATTGTTGATTGTCAAGAATCACTTCAAAAATTTCCAATTTGCTGTCCAATCAATTCTGTTGAATATAAAAAAAAAATTGAACCTAAATTTTACCCTAAAAAATATACGACACATAAGAAGTGATTGTTATAAAGCGTTTTATTGCATTTTTACTTTCAAAAAGTAATCGTATTACGTCCCAAATATTCTACATACAGAAAAGTTATCTTGAAAAGCAATTTAGAGCGCGTGATCAAAGCAGCAGCAAGTAACACAAACAGGTGAGATACTTATATACCGCAACGAAAGATTTTCATTTCATTTGTATCAACCAGAGATTTATATAAAAGCACATACTATTCGTAAAAAAGATATATATATATATATTTTTTTTTACTAAAGCGTTATACCCTACACCAGTTGAGGCGGAAGTTTGCACACACGTATGCATTTGAGATGGGTCCACGCCTATATAATATACCGAGCGTTACAGAAATAGATTCTAAGCTTGTCTGTCTGTCCGTCCATCCGTCTGTCTAGTTTTCTTGCGGGCAAACGACAAGTCGCCATATTTGAAATATTTGAATCAAATATGGTACACTGCCGTGTGTTTTGGCCCAATGGCAAACGCTATTGAAAATGGTCCATTTTCTTGACCACTTTCCATATGACGCAAAGTCGTCATAATCGTCGTTGATAGGCGTCGACCGGTGTAGGGTATTTAATGTTTAGCTGTGCTCTTTTTACTTGTGTTTTTTAAGTAAGCAACTTAGAATTGAAGGAGAAAAGGTAGAATTTCAATCAATAGTCTCTAGCAAATTTGTAAAAGGGAAAAGGTTACGTAAGATTTTTGATTGCAAAATGTAAAATGGTCCATATAGCCAACCAATCGTTTAATTACCGTATGATGTCTCTTGTATTCTTGAATAAACCTTTATATGATATGCATAATATTAAGTTATTATTATTATTATATAAGTAACTTACTGTCACTGTCCTTTCAGCAAATCACTTTAGTAAAATTTATCGGTTAAAGTCAGTAATTTTTCTAAATTATTTAATATGGAATACCGTACTTTTCCCAATTTTTTACATCGAAAAATGTAATTATATTTTGGGTGCGTTCTACGGAACGAAGGCAGCATTAAAATATTTTTTTCAACAAAGCGTCTCTAAATTTGAGATACGTGAGGTCCGTCAACAAAGATGCCCTCCCAGAAGGAACGGCTCGTATACGGCGTATATTTCAAATCATTTTTACATGGTTTGTGCGCATTTTGTATAACTAAAAATTACTTTAACGTATTGCGCTCTGTTTATACAAGTCTTTTATGTATGTACAGGTCGATTTTTGAATTTGGTTCCATGATTTTCATCATCGGAAAATGTAAAATCAACATCAAAATAAAAGTTACTGTTTTAAGGACTCAAAGGCATAGGTATCAGCACAATCGATCCATTAAAATGGCCTTCATTGACAGTTAACAAAATGGATGGCATATTTTCGGACTACAAATACCGATTTTCTCCTATTTCAATTGTTAGATGTCTATCGCTCAAACATCTGACGTATAGACTGGATGCGCGTAATACTGACGTATTAATCTGGCGAAAATGAGTGATGTGTATTCTTCCCAATATCTAGCATGCAATTTCGCTACTAACGAGAAGGAAATATTTGCGCGCTTCCACTAATCACAAGTCTAATCTAATCAATGCGCTATAAACACATATAGTATAAATCAGCTAGAATTGCATAAAATAATTTTATATAGCAATTTCATCTAACGCTATAATTTAAGTAAATAAAAAAACATTGCTCGTGTTTATAGAGCTACATTTTTATCTTACCTTTGCCTCCTTTTTTATTACGACGTGGCATCTTTTTCAATTCTTTATGATTTTTAGTTTTGAGATATGATTTTGAAATTTTTGACAAATTCAAATCAACGCCTTCGAATTCAATTGTGATTTTTTTAAAGCAACAGATAGGATTAGTTTTATGCACCCTGCAATACAGAAAAAAAGAAAAATAGAATATATAGCGACCATATCATGAATTGGCGATTGTGGTTTTCTCACCACCCAAGTTTGTGCTTTGCGAACGTAAATAAATTTAGAAATGAGAAAGTAGCGAAAAATTCTTCTGCACGCTCACTCAACAGTGAAACTTTGAGACACGTTGAATGGCACACGCATACATACACGCAAACAAAGCGAAAGATGTCAGAATATAAAAGGACGATGACAGCAGAACACGAGGCTTTTTAACAAATATATATGGTCTGGTCTTATCCTTTTTTGTCAGAAATTTTCTATTTATTTTTTTTTTCTTAAATCACTTTTTATATTCTCTCTGAAAAAAATCTTTTTGATTTCAATTTTTGTTTTTCTTCCAAATAATTTTTCACTAACGCTCACTTTGTTTTATAGCACAATTTTTGTATTTAATTCACAGTTTTGCACAATTATCGATTTTTTCTTTTGAATCGGCTCCCAATTATATCAGAGTAGTTGAATTTTCTTAAATGAATATTTGCTTTTAATCAAGACGCAGCTATGCAAAAGTTTTGATTTTTCCAATTTTTATGAACTTTTGAGTTTTTACACTGTTGTTGTTGCGTTTTATGAATCACTTGAAATTTCCTCAGTATAAACGAGCAAAGTTGTAAATTGTTTAGTGCTTTTAAGAACGTTGTTTGATTATTTATAGATGTCTGGAATAAAAAGGCTTCTTCTTCATCAAATAATTTATTGTCGACTGTTGTTGTTGCAACAAATTTCATGTTTAATTGCAATTTTTAACAATTTCCAGTTGTGATTTTTATTCAATCGCTTCTGATCGAATGTATTACTTTATATGTGAATACAAAACACGTAACCAAACACGCTCGCTCACATGTATTGAATCACTACCAGAGAAGTTATATATTAGTAGTGGTATATATAATGAAGAAAAAAATGCACAAATACACCGCCACACGTATAGTTAAAAATCGATCTTTGTAACTGAAAGAAAAAACGAAAACGAACACAAATTGTTTGTTAGCAGCCTTTCAGCACAAGGTTATCTATAATAACGAATTGTGTTATTAACGCTGATTAACATTTATGAAATAGTTAATTTCTATTTCACTCTTTTTAGCACTGACGAAATTATGATTGAAAGATTTACACCTTGTTGTGAAAATTGAGAATTTCACGTTCTACATATATGACGCACGAAAAAACAAAATATCTTGTGTCATAAAGCCACCAAAGCCACACTTCGCGAATAAAATAATTCGTCGTTTAGCTAAATGACATTTGAAAAGTTTCTACTATACCGAATTATTAGTGTTGCCACACTGCTCACACTGCAGCAAATGCACTCATAATTAGTAGGGAGAACATTACGAACGAAACGGAAAAACAAAAAAAGTTTTTTGTAATAGTTTAAGTTACTTAAGTTTCGTAACTCCATAAATTATAAATCATAACCATTATAACTTACTTAACTAAGTTGTAAATAATAGCAAATTAGGCAATTGTAACATTTTATTGAATACAAAACATCCCTGCAATTATAATCAATCATTCCACGCAGGTGATCCATCTGATTCTAAAACATATAATTAAACAAACAAAATGCTTTCTTTTATTTTCGATTTAAAGCGAAAAATAATTTTTATTATTTATTTCATAGTATAAATTAAAAAACTTTACTCTTTTCTTTTTTGAAATGTTTGTAATATTTTTATTGCGGTCAAAGAAAACTGAAGTGAAAAAAGGCTTATTTCTTCTTCTTCTGTTATTCAGGAAATTAATACCGAAAATTATCTGGGATGTCTAAAAGTTTCCTACTATTATTGCACTGATATTGCTATCACTTTTATTATTAATGTTATATTTAGTTACTATTATATTGCATAATGGGAGTACTTTACATAGTAATAAAAAGTGTATGAAAAAAAAAAATTGTATTCTTAGAAATAGAACGTTATTCTCAGCAAAGTCAAATGGTCATTACATAAAAAATATTGCAATGGAGCAATTCATAAAATGGCATTTATTTATTTATATGATTACCGTATCTTGGATAATGTGGGAATAAATAGAAGAAGATAAGGCTGCCTATTTTGCTGAATTTAATTTTTTACATTTTACTTTTCTTGCATATGTTGGTAATGAATAAAAATATAACTTAAAAAAGCATATAAGATGTACGCACATTCATAATCAGAGTGAAAAATTGGCTTGGAGAGTCAAGTAAGAGTCTGCCTATGTGATATATCCAATGATAAGAAAATTCTCTTCTATCTAATTTATTTATGTACTTTAGAGAACGTAGATCATTTCATAAAATTACTTTCACCGAAAAATCTTCTGTAACAAAGAAGAGATTGCCCTTAATTATGGACTTACCATTGCAAAATGCATACACCAACCACCACAAATCAAAAATCAACTATTTTCAACTGTTCTTTGTTGTTTTGTCGCTCACTGCACTCTGAGATTTTCCCGGTGTGGCTATTTCAAATGTTTTTAATGAATTATTACGTGTTTAGATCTTGATTTCTAATATTTCCTTGTATTGTGTTAAATTTAAGCTAAGGAGATATGGAAAAGCGTGAGCTCATAGAATTTGAAAACAATTTTTTTACCTAGTGAACATTAGTTCGAATTGATCGTAAGATTTTTAACACAAAGTTAATATCATTTATTTTACATTTTGTCGGTTTTAGGTTTACAAAACCAAAACAAAAAATTAACATACATAATTATTTACGGCTAGTAAAATTCAGGCTTTAAACACATTATACAACTGCCAAAATCTAAGCAACAATAGTAACAATGATACAAAAGAGCTTGCTAACTTCATGAATTCGTTTCAATTTCATTCTTCTGTAAAATAACGGACCAACTTAACAAAAACCGTCGGCAAAACAAAAACTTAACATTATCTAACGGACCAACTCTGTAAAATAACATTATCTAACGG